AATAGGTGTCCATTGCACAATATTTAATGAGTGTCGGGCCTCAGTCTGGTAGGGGCTTCCCCTCTCTGGCTCCAGGCCTCTAACACCTCCCTCCCTCCCCCCCCGCCTCCCTGGCCTCCCCCCTCCCCTGCCTCCCTGGCCTCCCCTTCCCATTCCATGCTGGTAGGTGTGGATGACGGTGCTGACATCCCCAGGGAGCTGGTGGTAGGCATCTATGAAAGGATACAGCAGAAGGAGCTCAAGTCCAATGAGGACCATGTCACGTATGTCACCAAGGTGGAGAAGTCTATCGTGGGCATGAAGACAGTAAGTGCCTACCACAGAACAGCGCTCACCCCATGGGGGTTGCTTCCTCTCCCATGGCTGCCAAGCCCCCCACGTCGCACCTCCTTTTGTCTCCCATGTGACATCTCCTTCCATTCTCCTCCTTCCCTTTCAGAAACACTTTTCCATTATTTGCTCACTTCCTAGTGATTGAGTCCCCACTATGTGCCATCCACTGCACCCTCTGTTTCCCCTTGCCTCATTTCCTCATGGCTACTGGCCACCACAGCAGCAGAGCCTGAGGTGAGGTGTTGGGAAAGATTGCCCTATAGTCTAGGGTTGAAGTGTCAGGATGGCCAGATGGGGAGACTAAGGATGGGCTGGATACTGGGCTTTCCTGGATGGTCCTACTGAATAGAAGACAGGAAAGAAGCTGAAGAGCCTTCTAGACTGTGGTGTCCCAACCACTGGGCGCCCCTTAGTTATGACCTATGTCACAGTCAATATGGTCCAAGAGGGCAATGATGCTCTATAGTTTACTACTCATATGTCAGCAGAGGCTCTTTATGCCATAAATATAAAGGATGTAGAGTGGGTTCTGGTATTTGTTTCCAGTTTCTCCTCCCTAAATTGCTGACCCAAGAAGCAGTATGGGGATGTTGTCTGAGCTCTGCACTGGGCTCCTCTGTGCGGGGATGGCCCTTTTCTGCCCAGAGCCTTGATTGCTGAGGTCTTTTTTTTTTTTTTTTTAAGATTTTATTTAAACTAAGCAGTGCTACTGTGTCATTTGAACGG